GCGCGACCCCAAAACTGACAAACGCGCTAGGCGGGAGTCGCTGCTAGGTTCTAGCTCCCGGGCCTCTCTGGGCAAGAGGTTTTGCTTTATTCGCTTTGGCGGCTCGGGGAAAAAGGCGTTTTTCAGGGAGGTGGGAGGCAAGATTACGTCCATTCACATACCCAGAACAGCGCAGAGTGTCGTCAGGGGTCTGGGACGTGAGGAGGACATCTAATGTTTCCAAGAAAACTTCGCGAGGCGCAATAGAAGTCTCAGCGCAGGCAGAAGCTAAGTAAGTCTCTCCAAGAAGACATTTTTTAAGGCCCTCGGATTTATTTTTTCATTTTCTTTTCCATTTTACTTACTGTTTGTTTGTTATTGGTATTTCTAGATGGCCTTCCTGTTAAGGATCTCCAAGCGCTATTCTTGCAGCCCATTTTTGTTTTCTGCCCTGGGATTCCTGGGAGAAGGGCTCCAGGAGCTTTGGGGCGATGAGGGGACTCGGGGGAAGGCAGGAGGCTGAGGGAGTCGGAGGGAGGCGCTGAAGGTGAGAATGGCGTTTGCTCCCCTGTGATTGGGCCGCCCCGCTGCTCTTCTCTCCGCAGGCGTGCCGGTCCCCGCGCTTTTCCCGCACCCCCAGCACGCGGAGCTGCCGGGGAAGCACTGCCGCCGCCGCAAAGCTCGCACGGTTTTCTCCGACTCGCAGCTTTCCGGCCTGGAGAAGAGATTCGAGATCCAGCGCTACCTGTCTACACCAGAACGGGTGGAATTGGCCACAGCCCTCAGCCTGTCCGAGACACAGGTGGGTTGGAGGAAAGGAAGGCCCAGATCTCTGCTTTGCTCTCCTCTCCCTTCAACTCCCAGCACCTTTTGGGCCCATGTGCAGAGTTCTTTGAGTGGGAATGACCTCCCTCCCAAGGACCTGTAATGAAAGTACTGATACCCCAACATCATGACCGACTTAACTGAAGCAAAATCTCTGAAGTGGGGCTCTGGACATGAAGGAAAAACTCCTCGGGTAATTTCGATTATCATCCCCGGTTTGAGAACTATTGCTCCAAGACATCAAGTCTGTGTTTCTGCCACTTCCCCCCACTCGGGGCTTTAACCCGGATCAGACGTAAATTGATAGATTAGAGGTTTCTTGTCCTTTTTCTTCTTATCTTAATCAACCTCTCTCACAGGCACATGTCTTCATATCCACCCCCAGCACACATAGTTTAAGCTCCCTCCCTGTTGCTCTGTCCTGAATGGAAAGAACTGTTGCATCTTCTTCTAGATGCTATTCACCGACAACCTCAGAACTCCTCCTCCACTCCGTTTATTCTCTGTACCTGGAAACCCTGTTTGCTGTGAAATCGTTAGCCCTGCCAGGTCCTGGTCTGATTTTCTCACTGATGAGAAACAGCAAGTTCGGTTGACGTCTTCTTGTCCACAAGTGGTGGTGGACTAAGTATTTAGATATCTTAATCAGAAGAACCGCAGAATTTACAATTAGCAATAATAATTAGTAGCAGTACTCGTAATTACTAATAATAACCACACCATTTTGATCTTCATCAGTATTTCGGGACAATTACTCCTGGGAGCCTTGGGCTGTCTGATTCTTATTCAGCCTGAGAGGATAACTTGTGAGTGCAGGTGTGACTTAACCCAATGGGGAGGAGTTTACAGCTTCTGGATAATTTGACAAAGGATTGCGATCCATTTTCCTAAAACGCAGTAATCGCTCAGATCTTAGCTCAGTAACCACGGGTCTGAAAGAATAAGGTCGTTTTATTTATTTATTTTTCTCCCTGGATTTAGGTGAAAACGTGGTTCCAGAATCGGCGGATGAAGCATAAAAAGCAGCTGAGGAAAAGTCAAGACGAGCCCAAGGCGCCAGACAGGCCAGAGAGCCCTGAGAGCAGCCCCCGCGGCCCAGAAGCCGCCTCCGCCGAGGTTCGGCCCGGTCTGCCCGCCGGCCCCTTCGTCCTGACGGAGCCCGAGGATGAGGTGGACATTGGGGACGAGGGGGAGCTCGGCTCAGGGCCTCATGTGCTCTGAGCCGCCGCACTGGGTAGTGGGGAGGCGGGGGACGAGATCGCCGAGCCGGGCGCGATTCCCTCGCGGACGCGGAGACTCGGACTGCGGTCCCGCGCGGGTCTGAGAGGTCGGCTCTTAGAAGACAAACAAAACCCACCTGTCACCCTCCCAGCCGGCGGCTCGGCTCCCGCCTCCTTTCCGCCCACTTCCTGTCCCGCGAGAGTGTGCGCCAGGGACTACTCCTTCGCGC